AGATGACCTGACTAAAAAAATGTTGGATTGTATACCTGGATTATTGAGCATGGACTTTTTTGGTTTAAAGCAGATTGCTTCACTGAAGGATGGTGTTTAGTTGTGTTGACTCAAAAAACGTACTACAGTAGTCCCTCGTTTATCGCGGGTGTTTAGGTTCCAGACCCCCCCGATAAGTGAAAAACCATGAAGTAGGGATAGTGGTACAAGAGAAGTGTAGCAGGACAGCAAAGAGTTAACCCTTCACAGAGCTGATGCAGCACGGAGCAGAAATGGACATTTTATTTAAACTTTAACTACAGACATTGCATTTCCTGCGAAGATGCAGTGTGAACACTTATTGCCCAAGAACTTGCTGAAAAACAGCTGAAATTAGCTAAAACAGCTGAAATGTAGCTGAAGTGGAAGAACAAGCCTAAATTAGCAGAAGAAGCAGAAAGAACACATATTTTCTGAATTTGGTTTAAATAAGCAGAAATGAGCAGAAAAAATAGTAAATTAGCCAAAGAAAAGCTGAAATTAGCAAGAAATAGCCGAAAGGTAGCTGAAGCGGCAGAAAGAAGCCTAAGTTATCAGAAGAAAGTGGAGAGAGCACTTACAGATGCAAACGTGCACATAAAAGTTGAAATTCGCTGGAAAAAATAAACCGAAATTTACAATAATAAATTTAAAAAATATATTTTTTAAAATAAACAGTCCATGCAACATGGATTGTTTATTTAAAATATTACAGTATTTAAATTTAAATAGTTTATTTACACAGAAGGAGGGAGATTGGGAGCAGGTGATGAGTGTGATGCAGTGGAGAAGTGGGCGTGGCAGAGAGAGGAGATCAGGACATGCTGCAGGAGAAGCTTCTCCTGCACCTGTGTGCCGCACACAGGTGCAAAATCCATCCATCCATCCATTATCTTTTACCCACTTCTTCCATTTTGGGTCACGGGGGTCGCTGGTGCCCATGTCCAGCAATCACTGTGCGAGGGGCGGGGTACACACTGGACAGGTCGCAAGTCCATCACAGGGCCACATAGAGACAAACGAGACAAACAACCATTCACTCTCTCACTCACACCTAGGGACAATTTAGAGTTACCAATCAGTCTAACATGCATGTTTTTGGTCTGTGGGAGGAAACAGGAGCACCCGGAGAAAACCTACGCATGCACGGAGAGAACATGCAAACTCCACCCAGAAAGGCCCCTGGACCGGGGTTTGAACCAGGGACCTGCCTGCTGAGAGGCAGCAGCTCTACCAGATGCGCCACCGTGCTGCCAGGTGCAAAATCATTTGAAATAATTTATTTTAATTAAATAATCCATGCCGATCGTGCAGCTCATCCATCAATCGGCCAGTTGTGCGTCACGTCTAAACTTATTTTGAAAAACTGCGAAAGTCGAACTGCGAAGTAGAGAGAGACTTCTGTAGTTGTGAATATGTGTCATGTTGCTATAGTAACAAACTGGTAACAAAGTTTCAAACTGGTTATTTGCAAGCTGTCAAGTCTACCTACATGGACTGTCTCTGAAGTGTTTCTGCTGCTGGTCGTCTGGTGGAATATTAAAAGGACCGAGCGTTTTGCTCCGTGTCAGGTGTTTCCTACCTGACTCGGCTGAGCTGGTTTCTGTAGAAACAACTTTCCCTCCCTCCTGGAGGGAGTGAGGGAGAAACTGAGAGCTCGTTGAGCTGTTTGTTTTATTTCAGCAGGCATTTCCCCGCCTCGCTGTGGGAGAACGTCCTCCTTCAGCACGATGCTCGGCCCGTGCAGGCGAGCCTTCGCTTGGCTGCTGGTCAGATCCGTCTTCTTGCGACACATGCAGCAGCTAAAAATACAAAAGGATGTTTCCATGGACATTTAGTACGACTCGTTTACTGCTTTTCGAACGTTTAAATCAAGCCTGCCTCTTTGGAGAAAGCAAACTGTCTGCGCCCCCTGAGCCCGGCTTCAAAACCCAATATTAACAATGGGGGATACTAATCCAGTCCCTTTTAATGAAACGGTCATTTGAAGGCAGAGTTCTGTCAGTCTGACTAATGACGTGCACGTTACATTATTTTGACTGCATGTGGGTGATTTTAAATGATCACCCTTTTGAATAGAACAGTTATATAAAGGTAAAAACACATTGAGGGTTATTATTTTTTCAGATAATTCCTGGACTTTTGTGTGGCTAGAAGTACTTAAACATTTAAAACAGCATGATTAGTAAAATACAGGTAAACTGAGATCAACAGAATGAAAACAAGTTCTTTTACATTTATGATCTTTAAAAACATTACTTCCATAACAGTACTGTTATGTAAGGGTAAATGAACAAATATAAACCAGCAAAGCACTTGCATATCACGACAACTTGTTTATTTTAATAATAATGACAACAACAATAATAATAATAATAGTAATACATTTTATTTGAAGGCGTATTTCAAACAACTCAAGGTCACCGAACAAGAAATACAAAGATATAAACAATAAAAGGCAGACATCAATAAAATCAAAAACAATTAATGATAGAAAACGTAATGACATTAAACAGAATAAGCGAGTTTGAAAAAGTGAGTTTTAAGGTTATATTTAAATGAGGGCAGAGAATCAGAATTACAGATGTGCTGTGGAAGAGAGTTCCAGAGACGAGGGGCTTTGTGGGAGAAGACTCTGGACCCCATGGTTGTCATGCGGGCAGGAGATCTAACAAGAGAAATGGATAAGGAGGAGTGAAGACTTCGGGCAGGTGTGTAATAACAAAGAAGATCAGGGAGGTACAGAGGTGCCAAGTTATGGAGAGCTTTGAACGGGAGGAGGAGAATCTTGAAGTCGATGTGAAATTTTATGGGTAACCAGTGAAGATGTTTAAGGATGGGGTGAAGTGTTCCTTCGACGTAATGTGGTGATGATCTGAGCAGCTGTGTTTTGGGCAAGCTGAAGTTTATGGATGATTTTAAGAGGAAGATCTGAGAGGAGGGAGTTACAGTAGTTTAATGGAGAGGTGCAAGAGCATTGATGAGGATGGCTGTACTGGTGGGAGTGAGAAATGAACGGAGACGGTTGATGTTTCCAAGATGAAGATATGCAGACCGAGAAAAGTTACTGACATGAGATTCAAAAGATACAGTGTTATTGAGGATTATTTTGTTATAATTTTGTGCTCCACTGTTTTGGCACTTTGCCACAGTCTCAACACTCATCAGTTCTGCACGACACCAGTTGGGGCCGGTCCACTGTCGGTACCACCCCACTCAACCTGGCTTATGGGCCCACCTTGTTCATGGTTCCAAGTGAGCGGCTCTGAGGTGACGACTTTAACGTAAGCAGACAGCAGCCGTTGATTGGCCAGCAGAGCTACGGTGCTGGATGACCCGCCCACTTAGTTTTGTTGTTTTCAGTTTGTCTAGTTTCTAGTTCAGTATGGAAGCTATAAAAACACATCGTGGACCAAAGACGAGGTCCAGACCTTTAAGTCTTTACTTGTGGATCAGAAGATTCAACGTGAGCTGGGCGGAGCTACAAGAAACAAGCAAATTTACCGTGAGCCATCGAGATGATGGCGCAGCATGGCTACACCCGGACCTTTAAGCAGTACCAAGATAAGCTAAATAATTGAAATCAGATTACAGTTATGATGCCCGCCCACTTTGCATTGATGACCACGCCCACTTTACATTGTTGATCCCACCCACTGAGCAGAGAAACAAGTCACTGAGGCAAACCACCTCCACCTGAGAAGAACCGAGAAGACGAGAGTCGAGTGGAGTCGCACTCATCGATGGCAAAGAGACTTTAGAGAACTACTGCACTGACCAAAGGCAAACAGAGGTTCATTTGCATGAGATACATGCAACCACCGAATTATAAGAGTATTTTTACAGCATAAAGTTTCAAACATCAGATACAGTTGAACTAATAATCAGACCTTAGTGAGCTTGGAGCCAGTCCAGGTTATCCTTGGCTCATGTGAATGAGGAAGTGACTGAATAGCTTTCCACAAATGAGGGAAATGCTGACTTTGTCTGCACAGATCAAATCTAACTTTGTTAGAGAACGCTGGCAGCCGCTGCAGATCCCTCCCAAGTTCGTTTTCCCACCAGGAGCCATAACTGCAGCTAACTTTTTATCATCCAGCCCCTCTCTTTAAAGAGGACCAGTCTCTACCTTTGAGATAAAGTTCATAATGGTGCCTGACGTACGGGCATGTTGTCCTTTATATTCTATAAACACCGGTCGTTTGCAGATCACATGCCCGTGCTTTATTTTAATCTGTTGAGTATTAAGAATTGAAACAAATGAAAACATTAGTTTGATTCAATTGATTGTATTTTTATTTAGGATAGTAATCAGATTACATGTTCACTGATTTTTAGCTGTTGTAGATGAGATTTGTGGTTGTGAATGCATCATTTGTTGACATTCTGTATGATGGGCTCATCAGCAGCCGAGGATCACATTCAGCATCCACCACAATAACCAGGTGCAGAGCGGCTGCAGCTGCGATCAGCTTCACCAGCCACACCCCGTCCACAGCTGACATTTTGTTTGTTACGGTCAAAGCTACAGCAGCAGCCCATGTTGCCATTGTTGGGCAGTTCTGTCTGTCGTAGGTGTGAGACGAACGTGATTCTGCTGCAGAAGAAATGTATAAACAGAAACTGTACGGTGACGTGGGTTCGTGTCAAGACTGCACAGTGTGACCTGCAGAGGCCTTCCCAGTTTCTGGTGGTTTCACATCAAATGGTTTTCCTGGACTTGAAGCCTTTCTTGCTGGAATCAAATAAATGTTACCTTCTTAGCTAGACCTAATAAAACAATATTCAAACTTTGAGAGTCTGTTTCCATTCAAATTTACACTGAATACTTGTCAACACAAAACTATTTTGTATTCTTCTTTATACTGTCCTTTTTCCACATGTTTAAAACGATAATTCAGCCCTTTTTGCTCAGCATCTTTTAAACGCTGCCATTTTGGATTCAGTCATTTGACCTCTGTTTAATTCTTCTTGCAGCTAAACCCTTCACTTCCAAGGTGAAGCAGATGCGCCTGCACAAGGAGGACTTCGAGATCCTGAAGGTGATCGGACGTGGAGCATTCGGGGAGGTAACGCAGCATCTGTTCTGTTGTACTTTGCTGTAATGCAACCGTTCAGGTTGTTGACACACTGCCCGGTTTTATTAAGAGCTCACAGAGAATTTCACAACCAGTTCTAGTATTTTCTTTGTTTATTATGTGTCCAAAGCAAACCCACTTGCTTCTATTTCCTATTTACATTCGTTCTCTTATCACATTGACAAAGATGACCTGGCTGTGGTTGTGTCTGTTAACAGGAAGTGCTTGATGTTTTTAGTTCTTACATGAGAGTAAAGTCTCTACCAGCATGAACGGAGTGTTTTGTTCTTCAGCTTTACAGAACAGTGTAAAGGTAACGGTTCAGATAGTGTAGGTGGACAGTGATTGAGCGTATATATGTAATCCTGGGGCACACAGTTAACATTTGTTGAAATATCAGATCTTAAGTGATTGAAGGAAACTGCAGGAAATAGGCACCAGCTTCATGTGAACTGGAGAGAAGCAGGTTAAAGACACTTGATGGCCGTCGAGAAAGTGAAGCTTGAAGTTTATGAACCTATAAAAATGATGGGATGATTTTTACTTAACATTCAGTGGTTTTATGGTTGTTACATCAGCTCTGCAGTCCAGCCTGTGCTGTGAATGCCAAAGAGACTGAAGCCCTTGAAGTGTTTTGTCTTTTGGGAGCTTCTTAGTTCCTAAACCTTTAGAGAGTCTCTAGAAAAGAAGCAGTAACTTTCACTGATGCACAAAAACCTTCCTGCTCTCACTTCAGCTGGTTTGTCTGTTTCTCACAGGACTTGTGTTCATTGGGGGTGCAGCTTGTGCAGTTGTGATCTAAAGTTTACATGACATTATCATGGGCATGAAGTTCATATTCACTATGATTTTTTTAAAGAGTTATTTAAAACATTAATTTTCAAGGGTGGAATGATTATATACATACAACTTAAGTATTTTTTGTCCTGTCACAGAGTGAAAAGAATTGGAAATACTCTCTGTCCCTCTTGCGTACACGATAACTTGAAAAATAAGTGAGAAGCCGACTTCCATTTTAGTACGTGGCTACATCTAGGTGTTAGAACAGTCCCTATTGAAAATTGAGCTGCTAAATCAAATTCCAAGATGGCAACTGTCATATTTATACATAAACCAGCCACCCCAAACATTTGAAGAATCTATGCTTTCTAGTTATTATTTTGCATAAAAAAACCTCCCCTCCTCCCACTCCTTAAAAACTCCCAGCCTTGTTCATTACTCAAAACTGCAATCATGGGTAAGACTGCCGACCTGACTGCTGTCCAGAAGGCCATCATTGACACCCTCAAGCAAGAGGGTAAGACACAGAAAGAAATTGCTGAACGAATAGTCTGTTCCCAGAGTGCTGTATCAAGGCACCTCAGTGGGAAGTCTGTGGGAAGGGAAAAGTGTGGCAGAAAACGCTGCACAACGAGAAGAGGTGACCGGACCCTGAGGAGGATTGTGGAGAAGGGCCGATTCCAGACCTTGGGGGACCTGCGGAAGCAGTGGACTGAGTCTGGAGTAGAAACATCCAGACCAACCGTGCACAGGCGTGTGCAGGAAATGGGCTACAGGTGCCGCATTCCCCAGGTCAAGCCACTTTTGAACCAGAAACAGTGGCAGAAGCGCCTGACCTGGGCTACAGAGAAGCAGCACTGGACTGTTGCTCAGTGGTCCAAAGTACTTTTTTCGGATGAAAGCAAATTTTGCATGTCATTCGGAAATCAAGGTGCCAGAGTCTGGAGGAAGACTGGGGAGAAGGAAATGCCAAAATGCCAGAAGTCCAGTGTGAAGCACCCACAGTCAGTGATGGTCTGGGGTGC